CCAGCTTTGTGTGTTGTCTGCGAGCTTCCTCATTCTGAAAGGCAGAAATATGTGATGCTATATCACATCCCTTTTGGTTAGATTATAAATGGTATTAAACGCTTACCTCAAGGAGTACCGCTATCCAACACTTATCAAGTGCCTTTTTAAAAGCAATCACAGTACTGCAGCTTACCACTGACAGTGGAAACCGATTCCACAACGTAATTACCCTGTTAGTGAAAAACCTTGCTCTCAGTTGTAGCCCAGAGTGGCTTCTCTGCAAACGTAAGTAATGTCGCAGCGTGCCTCTATGAGGGACCCAGGAGAACAGGTCGTCAAACCTAAGATCTGACATACCCTTGACTATCTTAAATGTCTCGATTAGGTCTCCTCTCATCCGTCTCCGTGTTGGGGAGAACAGATTTAAATCTCTGAGCCGCTGTTTGTAGCTCTTCCCCCGTTGTCCAGCTATCATTCTCGAGGCTAGACGTGGAACCCTCTCTTAGGTATCGACGTCCTTCCGGAAGAGCGGAGCCCAAGCCTGCACACAGTATTCTAGATGCGGACGGACTATGCTTTTGTAAAGAGGAACGAAGACCTCTGGTTTTCTGCATGTCATCGTTGCGCATAGTTGAAACAAGTGTCGTCTGGCTTTATTTGCGGCCTTCAAGCATTGGGTACTGGGTTTGAAATCCCGTGTGACCACTATGCCTATATCCTTTGCCTTGTGCACCCTTTGAATCGGCAGGCTCCTTGCCGTCTCTTCGTCATTTCTGGTCGTCAGTATCTGACATTTAGAGACATTTAGTAGCAGGTCCCATTTTTCGGCCCACCTTTGTTCTACCATTATGTCCCTTGCTAGATCCCATCCAGCTATCTTAACGTTATCTGCAAACAGAAAACAGGGATTTTGGAGATCCCGTGCTAGGTCGTTAATGTATAGCAGGAACAGAAGTGGTCCAAGCACGGATCCTTGGGGTTCGCCGCTTGTGACCACTTCCTCCTCGGATGTGTAAGCTCCTACTTTGACACTAAACGTCCTCTGCGTAAGAAAGCTCATTATCCAGCTCCTGACTTGCCCATATACTCGCAATAACTTCATCTTATGCTCCAACAGATGGCAGCTGACCGAGTTGAATGCCTTCTGAAAGTCCGGATAGCATGCTTCCACTGGCAGGCCCTCATCAATTCTACGTGTGACCTCATCTAGGAACACAAGTAAATTTGTCAGACAAGATCTCTTTTCCAGAAATCCGTGCTGAGCTGATGCCAACAGCCCTCTATTGACCATGTAGCGGCATATTTGTCTTCTAACTAGGCGCTCTAAACACTTACATATTACTGATGTCAAACTTACTGGTCTGCAATTCTCAGCTTTTTGCCGGGATCCTGATTTGTGTGTTGTCACTACTGTGGCTTTGCGCCAGTCGTTCGGGACAGTTTCCAGTCTAAGCGACTCTTGAAATAACTCGAAGATCGGCCGTGCTATGACGTCAGCCAACGGTTGCACAATCGCTGGGTGAATTCCGTCAGGCCCCGCCACCTTGAACATATTTAGTCCTACCAACTGCCGCTGAACATCCTGAATTCCCACAATGATTGGGGGCATCGTGCAGCTACCTTCAATTGATGGAAGACTACCTGTCACCCTGGGGATCCTGTACGTGCTTTTGAAGAACCGTAACAGGATGCGTGCTCTATCACCTTCACTCACTGCTAACTCTCCGCTAGGCGATTCCAGAGTACCAACCGTTTCCCGAGTGTTGCGCTTAGATTGAACATACGCATAGAAACACTTGGGATTTTGCTTGGCGTTTCGCGCCAAGTTTCTCTCAAATTGGTATTTAGCCTCCCTTTGCATTTTCTGTGCATAGTTGCGCGTTTGTTTGTAATCATTCTACAACTGATGGGTGCCATGCTGTTTATAGACCCTATCTATAGGCCCTATCCATATTTGCTTTCCACCAGGGAGGCCGTTGCTTCTTTCCTAACGGAACCAAAGTCGCAAACCTATCCGTAAGTAGGAGAAGTCCCGTATTTATATGGCTCCATCTGGTTTCTAGAGACGCATCACCTGGGTTGGGTACCCAGTTTATTTCCTGGTCAGTTCTTCTTGGTTGATTTATCATATCGCCTCCCTAGTTTGGCCGCTGGTTTGTTGTGTCTGCTTTCTAGCGTTAGTCGCATGACCACATGATCATTTTTGCCAAGAGGCTCCTCCTGGATTATTGTCCTTATGTCTCCAGGGATTCTCCCCACTTATCCCGTATACTTCAAGCATTGGTGTACCACAGTGAGATTGTGTCTGCTTGCGCATGCCTGCTGGGTCGGGAGCTCATTTCTGGAGGATCTCAGTTCAGTTGGTATCCAGGACCGTGACGGCAATTGCTTGAGTGTCCAGATTCTTGCACTGATGAGTTCCTTCGATCCCTTAGTGCTGCGACA